AACTTTTTAGGATTCGATCCGGAGTCCGGAACGGATCAAGTTAGAGAACCGAGGTACCACTGTACTTTGATGCATAGGGAGGGGCACTGTCTTGCAGGAATATCATAACTTTTCAGAAAACTGTTGACGGCTTCTTGTGCCAGTGTTTGAAGAAGGTATCTTCTAGAAACTGGCAGTAGACCATGTGGTTAATCTGTAAGTCAGAAAGGTCTGACAGGTCCATCACTGATAATTGCAGCTCACGTCATCTCTCCTCCACCACTTGGTTGGTGCTTGAAGAGGATCTCCATCCACTAGCCCATCCATCTGCTCCATCAAGAGTAACTTTCATCTCATCTGCCCCCAAAACCTTTGTACCATCAGTCTTGAGATGTGTCCGTGTCCATTCTTAATGTTATACCTTACATGCCTTATTGAGTGGAGGCCATGCTTCAGCGTTTATGACCTTAGTAATGTCATGTAGCACACTGCACCTAGAACGTCTGGAGATTCTGTTCAGATTGATGTTTTGAAAAATGATGGCATTTGATGCTCAAGAGTTTCTGGAAGTCTCCTCTTTAATTTGACACAGAACTTTGGCAGTTTATGTGTGTTATCTTCTCTCTACAAGCCTCTTCAGTCCTCTTTGGCTGTTGGAAACAAAACACTTGATTGTACAGTGATCACATTTCAAAAGTCTGGCAGTTTCGATCATTTTGTATCCCTCTGACTGGTACTTTTCTATTTTGTTTTTTTTCCTGGTCTCTGTAAGGTCCTCTTTTGCCCATTTTAATAGTAATAATAATTTGCTTAATAATTCTGCACAGGAAAGTATCTTTTCCTGTTTTTATCCATACAAAGTACCAGACCAAATACTGAACATTTTGCTGTTTTTAAACAGTTAATTCTTAATTAGAGATTCATCTGGATTCAAAGTATTGGTCGGTTGAGAAGATACAAGTGAAATACACACTTGCCTAATAATTCTGCACACAGTGTAAAAATAACATGAAAAATAGTTTTATCTTTTGGTAGACCTAAGAAAGAGAGCAGCCTTTCACAAATCATGGCATGCTGCAGAACATGGTGCTTCAGCCTGTAGGGGGGGGGGGAAGGGAGAGTTTCTATATCTTAAATAAAATACAATAAATTAAATGCTGTATGTAATGTAGCTCTAGCGTTTCAGCGACTCACCTTTCTGTATGGCACTTCATTTTTTATGGTGGTATATGAAGAAGCAATTCTGGTTCATGTTCATATACAAGAACACTCCTTTTGGACAGAAGCTACATCTGACCAGGTTGTCAGAGTGGAAGGGCCAATGTGCAACGTTATCAAATCGCACATCTGGCGTTGGTTGGGAAGGTCTTGCAGCTTTTTGGTTGCTCAGCAGGAGGCAAGGAACATGGTGGCCTGCCAATTGGGGGCTTGTTGATGAACTTCAGACTGGAAGCAATACTCCAATGAAAATTCTTCAGAAGCACTGGCTTCTCATTTAGCAGCTGACATCGTCTCTTGTAAAGAATCCATGAATTTCACACAGAGAGGTCAAGCATGTAGCCAGACAGTGGAAAATACCACCTCCTTGATTTCATGGGGGTCTTGTATAGGTGCACAAGCATATCAGATTTGTCAAAACTTGAACTCCATGTTTTCATTGGAGGCTTGGATAAGGCATAATATCAGCTACCAGGCTGGACCTTGAATGATGGTGTCAGTAATCATCTATGGATGGGCAATCGAAAACTCCCATGTACAACAGAATGGCCAGGAAACATTTAATTTCATGAGAGGTGGTCTTTATGGGCTCTAAAAACTTCTGGACAGAGTACAGATTAGTGTGGTTAGCCCATTAATGTCCACACCAAGAAAAAAGCAACGAAAAAAAATTTTCTTTGCATTTTTTATTCATTTGGGGCAATAATAACAATAATGTTCAACTTTTTAATTCAAACAACCCCATAGTTTTTAAACCACATGCCTCTACCAAAAGGTTGAGATAAAAACTTCTCTTAAAACTTCTCAGCAAAAGCCATAAAACTTCCTCAAATCTGTCTTACAGAACAGTAAGCAACGGAACCACCTGCAACAGCAGGTTTTTGGGAATTAGAGCTCCCTTATTTCTGGTGGTATGCCACAAAGCACTGCTGGTGTAAATTCAAGCACAGGAACACGTTGCACTTCTGGCATTTCCACCTCGACACACCCTTTGGACAGAGGTTGCACCGTCCCCGCCTGTCACAGTGAAGTGGCAGATGACCATAGTTGTCATAACGCACATCTGGTTGTGGTTGTGAGGGTCGTGGGGTGTAGCGTTTCTTCTGAAGCAACATGTGTGGTGGAGAGGAGGATGATGGTCGGCCAGCTTTAGATGCTGGCTTGTTGACTTGCCTCAAACAGTGTCCAACTGCCAGACGAAACCTTTTGAGAGAGATTGGTTTCTCATTCAGTAGGGCACAGTCCCTCTTGTAGATAAGCCAGGAGTTTGAGATGCACAGGTCAAGGATGTATCCAAACAGTGGAAAGTACCATCGCCTTGACTTTGTTGGGGTCTTGTACATGTGTACCAGCATGTCAAAAAGATCGATGCCTCCCATATGCTGATTGTAGGCATGAATGAGTGATGGGCATGGGACAGCAACTTCTGCATGGGCTTCTTTGCTCCAGCGTTTAACAGTTGAAAGAGGCTTGATCCCACAGGCATTGCTCATTAGGTTGACACATTTGTCGTCAAACCATTTCACTGCGATCACCCCTTCAGCAGACCTGTAATCATAAGCTCCACATCCATTCTTCATCAGCTCTTTGTCTGTCATTAGGGAAGCTCCACCCATGCGGTTGGACCGGACGGTGCCAATGCATTTGACTCCCAGGTTTGCGTGCAGGTTGTGTATCAAGTCAAAACTGGTAAAATAGTTGTGACAGAAGACAACTGAAAGCTGCGGCTCTTTTATGGTTTTGCATAGAGTTGTCACCAGTTTGGCTCCTAGAGGTAGCTCCTGCTCCTGCTCACTTAGCGCAACATTGAAAAATGTGGATGCCCCTTGATAGAGCAGTAGGTCATGGATAATGCCAGATGAACTTGCCCGGCAAAATAATTTAAAGCCCCACTTGTCTGGCTTGTTGGCAATATACTGGCGGAGTGTGCCAGCCCCTTTGCCTTTATATGCCACCATGACCTCATCCACACTGTGCTTGTAAGTGGATGGGATCAGGAGACACTGCTCACGGAGCATCTCAAAAAGGGGGCGGATTTTATAAAATCTGTCTGGGCTGTTGTTGAACTGATAATTATCATTGAAATGAATGAACCGGTGCAACAGCTTGAATCTTTTCCTTGGCATGATATCAGCTATCATGTTGAAACGTGACTCGTGGTGCCAGTAGTCCTCCATAGCTGGGTAACTAAAAACACCCATGAAGATTAGTATTGCCAGGAAACTTTCGATCTCCACAGGGCTAGTCTTGATTGGATCCCTCAACTCTTGGGCAGAGTAAAGGTTGGTATGTTGAACAATATGTTCAATCATCTCATCTGTGAAAAGTGTTTTGAAATACTGGAAGGGTGTTTTCACAGCATCGGGAGCTTCAAACCTTGAATCAGGAACCTGGAATTCCTCAATATCTTCATACTTCCAGATTCTGCGAGTGACTTTGTTTGGCCCTGGAGGTTCAGAGGTGTCCTCTGGCTCCACCATAGAAACAGTTTTTAGTGTGTTTTTTCCTTTTCTTCTCTTCTTATGAGGTGGTGGTTTAGAATATGAGCTTGTGGGTTCAATCTCCTCCTCATCCATGGATTCAAAAGAAGTGTCCCCAGTGTCTTCTCCTTGTGTGGGCTGATAATCAGGATCGTCTGTCTGGTCATCATCTTCATCACTCAAATCAACATCAGAGTCTTGAGGATTTTCTGGTATGAGGGCCAAAAAATTGCGTGGCCTTGCACCATAGAACGTTTTACAGTCCATCTATTATTTGTTAAATGAGAAGAAAAAAACAAAATGACTAACCATGCACTGTTACAAAAGATTAGAAAGTTTAAAAGATCTATTTTTTTCCATCAAATAAATAATGGCATAACATCTAATATGATAATAAAATTTTAACGATAATACCGTTATATATATAATTACGATATATATTATGATATAAATTTTACCAAAAATAATACTTGTAATCATACTAATGAAGTTGTTTTAGCATTAATACCATGAAATATGCATAATATAAACAGCAGTGAATTATATTTCTTGGTAAATAGTCATTTTCAATTACATTAGCTTGATGTTAGCTAAGGCTTACTAACTTTACCATAAAGTGACAAATGAACCGTTTGGTAAAGTACGTTTTCAGAAAATTATTTGACCCTTATTAGACTTTATTTTTATTGATCTAATTACTTAATTCTGTTCAATAAAGCCTCTGACAGTATACAATGTAGAAAAAACATGCCTACCTTTAAAATTTTCTCCAAACAGAGTCCACATTTATAGTGTTCCTTTGTCATTCCTAACTTCCTGTGAGGAAGCCGACTGAAAAACTATAATATTAAATAAGACAGCGACATCTATTGGATTTTCTGAGCAAAACAGACCTAAACCAAGTGGTAGAGATAGCTCAATCAGTTCAGTTAAGTTCAGTGCATGCTTCAATAAAATATAGGGACTCAAAATGTGCTCTGCCAAATTGTTGACCAGAACGTTAAAGGGCTAGAAATATGTTGAACGATCTCGCCAGTGAACAGCTTCTTAAAGTACTGTAGTGGAGTTTTAAATTCATCTGGGGGATCAAATGTGGAATCTGGCACATGCATTGAATCAATGTCTTGCTTTTTCCATGGTGGCCTTCCATGATCTGATTTGTATGCATCTTCTGCCTCTGTTATATTGACTGTTTTCTTTATGTTTATAAGCTATTTTCTTTTTTTTTTTGTGGTGGTGGTGGTTCAACATCTGGGTCTCAGTCTTCATCATAGTCCAAAGACTCAAAATCAGATTTGAGTGATGTGCCAGTGTGGGAATGAAATCTGGGTCTACTATTTTGTCATCATCACTGTCACTGCACTCTTCAGCATCAGACATAGCAGAGTTTTCAGGTATTAGTGCCAGTATAGAATGTACCCTTTTGCCATAGAATGTCCTGGTGTCCATCTACATAATATATAAAACGACACACATTGAGATGCTTTCATGAAATATCTTAATATTATTAAAATATTAAGTATTAGTAATGTTAAATATTCAAATGTTTTCTATAATACCTGGCTTCTGATGAGCCGCACCTGTTCTCAAGTAAATACCAGGAACAGGTGTGGCTCATCAAAAATCAGGTAGAATAGAAAACCTGCAGGAAAGTACCTCACCAGGACCAGAGTTGGAGACCCTGGATGTACATGAACAAAATGAACAGAAATTTTATCCCCAGAAATTTTTTCCTTATATATTTTAATAGCATTTGTAATAAAAGAGTTATCCATAAACTGGCATTGGCATTTCTACCTTTGGATGCAGCATTTTTTTTTTTGCTTAAGTAACACCACTGAATAAAAATTTTAATAAAAAATATCCGCTTCTGAAGCTGATTAGGAAATATCCAAAAGTTTGGAGGGAGTTCTTCCTCTATGTGTGGGATCACCGAAGTAGTCACCCTGTTTGGTGTATTTTCCAAGTATTGCATGCTCTCCAAGCGTTGAAATGGTTGCCCAGCTGAGTATTGTGATGAAACACACGGCACGTATATTGGCATATGAGCATTTAAATGGATGACCCATTAGTCGAGCAGGCAGTTAAAGGGTTAAACTGCGGTACACAACATTTTGACAGTATTTTCAAAAGCGATGCTATTCTGGTGTTTTGAAATCTTGGGGATAAAATTTGCCAAGCACATGTGGGGGCATGGACGTTATTTTGTTGCCAAGATTTCAAAATATGGTATACCATATTACCCCCCCAAGTCTCGCGACATGGTAACAACTTTAACATTTTCTCAATCTCAGTCAAAAAATGTTTTATCCCTCTGAAACAAAATTTTATTCATCTCAAAATACTTCTTGTATTTGTAGCAATATATCTGCTGTCTGCTGGTCAGGTGGAATATCATGATGTATGCATGCACCAACCGTTCACCGACAAATGTAGTATGTATATAAGAGTCTGCACTCACAACTGTGCATGGACCTTAATGGCATGCTGGAAAGTGAAGTATGAACTAGGCTTAACATAGTAATGTTTGATGGAGGTAGGTGGTGATGTCATTATATGCAATTTATGCAGCAAACCACAACAATGCAACTAAACAATGACAAAATTCATTGTTAGCTACTTTTATTACCATCATTATCGAGCAGTTTTTGCAGCCCTTACACATAAGAAATATTGAATAATAAGCAGAGATTTGTACTTGTAGTTATCCTTGAATCCACATTTTCCATTGCAGTTCATGTCCCCAGCCAGAAATAAAGAGAAGCCTCTAGGATTTTAGTCACTTTCATTTGCTTCAGCATGACATTTGAAGAACCATATAATTAACATCATCCTCATAACTTACACTGGGCAGCTCACCATTTTGTTTTGTGTGTATGGGTCATTTCCAATATCATTGTTTTCTCTACATATTGTTTGCATGTATCTGGCAGTCGCTGATTCACATACTTCAAAGTACTTTTCAACAAACAAATGTCATCACTAATTTATTATTGTCTATACATAATTTCTATAATATGTCAATCTTTTGATGTTCAGGGCATCCCATTTGTGTACTATATACTTTTTGTTTACACTACATATACCATCTTAGCACTATTTGTATATTTACTTACTACATTACTATTACTGCACCACAATTGTACAACATTATTGCAACACTCCTATACTGACAAACACTGAAAAGACTTCAAATTCAAATGCAGAATATACATTTTGAATTATTTAGTATCGGTACCTGTGAAGCCTTTGATGCGATGGTTTTGTCCTCCGTTGTTTGACCTTTTAACGAGGTACAAGGGACATGCTGCAATCCACCAACCACTGGGATGTCACACACCTAGGTATTTGAAATGCAAATGAAGAACTCCTTAACTGTATTATCTTGGATCACAAAACCATCACTCCACCTATTCTGAAAGAAGGTATAGACTGAGAACTCAAAAATTTGTTGGAACTAAGAAAATTACAATTATGTTCAGTTTAACCTGCCTAACATCTGGTGAGGACACTAAATGGAGATAAATCCCTAAGAGCATGTCTACGGTTTCCATGAATAAATGATAGACAAACATCCGGGTGGATAACCTAATTTGAAATACCTTCTTTTTATCACAAAAAATCAAAGACCGTTCCCAGCATACTTGAACTGAAATCATCATTAACACATAAAACCTGAAGCAGAGGATTGCGCATTTTCGATGACAAGGATAACCTGCATTTCGACACCAAGAATAACCTTTGGCACCTCAGTATATTAATATGTGAATCGTAAGTGACAGTGTTCCATCTTTCATGCATGGTTTCATGGTTGAGCTCATGTAGAATGCTGTAAATGTAATTATTATGAGTATAATAAAAAAGTATTGATTGCACAGATAACCATTACCACACAGCTACTGGTAAAATTATATATATTTTTATTTTTCCCCCCTTAACTTCAGATAATGAACAAATGTCATAGACTCCAATTGTCAAAAAGAACCACATCTTAAGTACAGAAACCATCTTGCACCTTGTAATACTGGTAGCATTATGAAGAAAAAAAAATACACTGTCCAGGAATTCATGAGAAATCAATCCAAGGCAATGCTGACTAGTTTTAACTGATCATAAAATCTGTGTCTCGGATTACATGGCAGAACTATGTAGTGTAACCCAGCCTTAGGTCAACCCAAAACAAAAGAGTCTGAGAACATGGTGACTTCACTAAAAACAAAAAGTACATTTTATTGTGATAGCTGCAGATTAACTACCAGACCTAAATTTCACAGTCCTCTCAACTGACAAACCATAAAGGGACAGACTCAAAATGGACAGAACATTTAATACTGATGTCATTTAATAGTGAAATGGAATGACAGCAGTAGATGAGGGAAAAAAGGTAGTTGCTTTGGCTGTAATTCATTGCTACCTGGGACAATTAATAACAGACCTTTTAATATCAGAGGTGGAGTAATGGGCCCCAAACAAATACCCTGCTGTCACTAACGAGTGTGAATAGCTAGATGTCTCTTAATCTGACTTGACTGAATAAACCGCTTCCCGCAGAACGGGCAGCCGTACGGTTTCTCCCCAGTGTGGACTCGCAGATGTACTTTTAAGTGTACAGACTGACTGAATCTCTTTCCACAAACCGTGCACCCAAAGGGTTTCTCCCCAGTGTGAATCCGCACATGCTCTTTCAGTTTTCCCAAATACGGAAAAGATTTTCCACACACGCTACAGCAATTTCTTGCTTTTCCTGTGTGAATTCCCTCATGCGGTTTTACTCGTGCTGGTTTCTCACCTTTGTGAATTAGCAAGTGTATTTTTAGATCTGAGAGCTGACTGAAAGTTCTTGCACACCAAGAACAGGAAACTATACTCACTTCTCTACCAGAGTCCTGTTCGTTAAGCTCTGGCATTACTCCACCACTTTCCATCCAGTTCATGTCTACAAGGTTTTCACTTTCAGCAGTATTACTGCCATTATTTATTCTGTTGAGAGGCTGTGAGAAAATAGGGTGTTCTTGTATACTGTAATCCAGTTCATCCAGCTCAGATTTAATCTGGTCAGGTAACATATGAGGAAGACACCCCACTTCTTCATTCTTCTCCTCAAAAGGAAGTGAGGTTTGGTGGATCCTGAGTTCAGAAGGATTTTCAGTACACGTGAAGGCTGATGCCTGCTTGTTCAGGTCCACGACTCCCTGCTCTGGTTTGCTCTCATGCTGCTCGGGGAATTCCTGCTTAATGTCAGTCTGCTGAGGTTCCCTGTCCTCCTCCAGACCGGAGTTACACTGTTGCTCATGGGGATGTTGACCCTGAGGAGCTGCTCCACTGGAGACAGGGGGAGCAACATGGTGGGCACTATCTGTAGAAGAAGAGAGAAGATTTAGGCACAAGAAGTAATCATTAAGGCTTGCTATTAAATTAACAGATCCCATGCTCTCCAAACATGCAGTAGTATATGGCATTAAAAAAAGTGTATCCCCCCGTGCACAAACTTTTGAGGCTGAAAATAGCTTTTTTTTATAAACCTTACACTTTTAGAGTGCTTGTCTCAATGGGGATGAAGAAACAGGTCAATGCTTTATGCACAAGTAGCACACACAGTGACTTGAACTAACCTGTTATTCCAAGTCCTTTACCATGTTTAACAAGTTGTGGAAAAATGTGATCTGCGAAACAAACTTTAATCTTGAAATAAAGAGACTGACCTATAATAGTAAAAAGTTACAGTTCATAATTATTACTGAAAAATTTGAACTGAAAAAAATATTCAATCAATTCAAATGTAACAAATATCTGAGAATATGTGCAGTTCATACTCTGACCGCAGCATAATGTTTGATATTTTAGTATCAGTAATTCAGTATCATATTGTGATATCAAAAATTTGAAATGGTATGATTCTATCATTTTGCAAAATTCAAAATTGAGGAGAATGTGTTGTACATCTCTATTGCACACATGAAAATACACAAAGTAGTAATTTCACATAGTGCAATAGTTCAGTTTTTTTTTTTTTAAATCCAATGGTCCCCTGTGTTATACATGTGTGCCCCCCCTAGACAGGTTATGATATTGTTGCTCTTATATGCCTTCTGCAATGACAAAAATTACCAATGTAAACTAATAAAGACATTTTAATTGGTGCCAAAAAATGCAATTTTTTTTGAACATGACAAGTCCACTAACACTTTCTTGGTTTATGATATTACTCTCAAAACAGAAGGTGAAAGTTTTTATTCATAAACAATCAAAATCTATTTTGGTGGTAGTGTTAATTTTTACAGCAAATGTTTATTTAGCTTTAGTCAGTCTTTTGAATGAAATGTAATATAGTTCCAGTCTTAAGTCATCTAAATTATTTTAGTTTTATTCTAGCTTTATTTGATTAAATATAAGATTACAGTTGACTGTAGTATAAAGTGCAAAGTATAAACTTTCCCTTCGATTTCTGAAAGTCATTATGTTCACCAAGATGAAATCCCAAGATCCCGACCCAAAATATGGGAAATTTAGAGCTGCTTCCCATTGCCATTCCTCTGTTAACAGCAAGAAAAATAACAGCAGTTTTGAAGTCCGTTATTTTTAACGGAGCATAAGCTCTCGCACTACTTGCGACATCGAAGCCACTGTCCTGAAGCTACTCCGCAGCCGTCAATGTTTAAGCGAACTGCCTTAATCATAATGTTTATTTTTAGGAATAATAATTATATCGTAATTAAACAAAATAAATACAGCCTTTCCAGCCCCCCCCATTTTTTTCCTTCGGGTCTACATAAATCTCATTGTTAACCTTTAATGCACTCAGTTGACGGAAATCCGTCATAGCAACGGAAAACTTTAATCCATGTGTCCCAGACTTAAGAGCATTTAGTACGCGATGATGCCTGATTTGTGGCCGCCATTCTTCTACCTGTTGCTGAATGCTATTGCACAAGAGCAAATCTCACCAGTGTGGTGTATTGGTGAAGTCTATTGGAAAGCGGTAGCATTGCACAGGTAGAAAGTAAGGAAAACGTCTCACTCCGTTTAAAAATACGTCTGGCGACAATTATCGATAATCAAATTCGTCGGCGACTATTTTTATTGTCGATTTTTGTCGACAATGTTGAATAATTATTGCACCCCTAGCTGTGAATTCGGGGATTGTATAACGCCACAACCAGTAAATTTCAGCCTCTTTGAGCTAATAAGCATGTAGCATACTTATGTAAAGATCTAAAGCAGGGGTGGCCAATCTTATCCGCAAAGGGCCGATGTATATGCAGGTTTTTGGGATAACCTTTAAGTCAGCTGTTCAAACCCAGGTGAGCCAATCAGTCCTCTAATTAGTGACCTAATTAGGGAGTTGCAGTGAAAACCTGCATACACACCGGCCCTTTGCGGATAAGATTGGCTACCCCTGATCTAAAGTCACTAGTGATTGGCTGCTTAACGTAACAATACATAAATGTCATAGGTCAGAAGGAAAAACGTATGCCCAGAGACAAACCTGTCAACTGGCTTGCATGCGTGTTGTTTTTGTTTGTCGAGTAGTATAAAAAATGCCTAAGAATTCAGAAGTGTGGCTCCACATGGTTCAAGAATGTGACCATTTAGTCACATTTTGCAACCATTTTGTAGGCAGTATGACTAAATTTTATAAATAGGCATACCAGTGTGACTTGCAAATGTGAGAATAAATGCCCCTCATTTATGCCCAAAAATGCCCCCCATATAATGGCTGACCACATCAATGAAGATCACGTGAAACACCTAGAGAATGTGACAATTGGTTAGTAGGTGTATTAATGTGTGTGAGTGAGATCATCAGAACATGGTTAATGAACATAAAGAAATTAATGAAAATGCAGATGTCTGTTAGTATTGCAAAGCATAACTTAAATATCACTGCAGCATGTTAGCAATGCAAATAAAACTTTAAAAGGGTTTGACAGACTTACCAAATAATACAAAGTCAGCCATAGATATGTAACATTTAAGCCTCTTGGGGTAGCCTGGCCAGTCTTTGTCATCACTGATTTTAAATTTGTTTAATTTACTGTCTATGATTCCTCCATGTTAAAACAATTGCTGCTAAAACATAATGATACATATGAAGAGCTCTTTTCCAAAACGCAATAAACGGCAATTTTTTTAAAAATTAGTTTGTCATGCCACTTTGCTGTGCACTGAACCTAATCACTGCTCCATCAACATTTCATGCCAAATCGCTATATTTCCTTGTTTAAGATGTACTGCAAAATGCCATTTCTTTCCAAACCACAATAAGCGCCGTACCTATTTTTTGTCAAAACGTGATATGTACTCTCGACCAATCAGAATTCGGTGAGCGTGCGACTTAATTGAACTTGGCGGCGCTCTGAGGCGATAGTTTTGTTGCGATCTTGTTTAGTGTCCTCTTCAAAATGAGTGCTTTAAACCCTTTTGATGGTATCGATGAGCCAGTGAGACCTAAAGCTGGAGGTAGAAAATGCCGACTGGACAAAGAAAACCACAAAAAACAACAAAAAAAGAAGGTTCGTCACTCAGGTGGTGCGTTAATACCTACTGTGGGATGTCAACACAAGGCTGCTGCGACCGGTTTCTGTCAAGCCGAGAGGCTGTCACCGGATTATTTGTTTTATGTGGTGGACGATATTGAAACGTGAAATTGCCGATATTTATTTTATTGTACTATTTAGTTTATGTTACTATTTATTTTATTTAATGCATTTGCACTTATTTTGATTTATATTCATTTATTGTATGAGTCCCTGATGTCATATGTTGCATGTTCACACATAACACACATAAACAATCAACTTTTTGGAAATAAATGGATGGATTTATAGCGTTTTGGAAAAGAATGGATGGATTTATAGTGTTTTGGATAAAAAAAAAACTGAATTTATAATCAACAATACTGTTGTTTGATTTAACAATCACTGTTCAACATGTTCAGACTGAGCCAACAAACCATTTTAACAGGATAAATTAAATATTAACAAAATGTGTGGGTCTAGGTAAAAAATGTCATTTTCCTGAAAACTATCATAATGGATTTATGCCGTTTTGGAAAAGAGCTCTTCATATTAACCAAATAATATTTTTTGTGAACATAATGTGTTGAGTAGGGTAGAAAGATATTTGATGTTTTTGTAACATTTAATTAACTATATAGCCAAATAGAATTTATCTATCGACAAAGTCTGTCAAATTGGTAGTATTGACCTTAGTCGTGCCAACAAAGTAGCACCACAAATCAGTTGCTTCTGCTTAATATCCTCTCTATGAAACACAAAATATTTTCACAGAGGAAGACCAATGCCTTTCCGAGACCAGTTCTTGTTCTCTCTTCTCTTCACTCATTTTTGTTTAATTTCTCTCAAACACACCGCACAGTCTACGACTGAGTTAGACAGCAAGGACGAGGATGATTATGATTCTCAGAAAGTGCATGCAGAGCTCAGGCAAAAGTAGTGAACTTTAGACTGATTTTTTTTAAACAAAAACTATTATTTTGAAAAGGAGCAATTGTAAAATTGCAAAGCTTTCTAAATTTTCCTCCCTATGATTGACCGAAAATATTTTAGAGCAACGCATTGATGGTTTGACCCAGCAGACTACTGCGGTCCTTGCAATGCGATAATTGCATGTGCATGAAATGTGTGTTGTTAATATCAACATGGCATCGTACAAGCCTGAGAAGGAGGTACAGTGGCAGAGCGGGTAGCACTGTTGCTGCACACCGCCACTTTGTGTGTGGAATTGCACTTCCACCCTGTGTGGGCATGGCTTTTTGGAAGAGTCTCTGGATTCCTTCTACTGTCCAGAAACATACAACTTAAGTAAATTGGGGTGCCTTAAATTGACAGTATGTCTGACCTTGCAATGGTTCGTTGTTTCCAGCAATATATCCATTATATATATTAAAAACGATTACTCTATGAATCATCAGATTATATCAACCATTGAGTAACTGAATAGTTAATTGATAGTGACAGCCCAAGTATGAGCACAGGATTGCACATGTATCACCATCCGTTGCTCGAAAGCACTTGCAAAAGAGTGAAGTATGAAGCTGGCTTTACTTACACATACAAAAAGACCTCTATGCACAGCGTGGCACCAAAATTCTTCTCACAAGTAAAACACATGTAATAATCCATAAGTTAACTGAAAAGATGGCGAGTACGAGTCAATATGGTCCTCTGAGCACTTCAAGTATGCCCAAAAGCTCAGAAGTATGGGGGCATTTTCAAAATGTCAGTAATAATAATGTTATTCTAATGTGAAAATATTAGTAGATTAGCAAATATTTGCAGCTCTAGGCTGAATAATTTGTTTATACCCAAAAGAGATTTTTTTTAATGAACAAAAACATTGTGCTCTGGAAGGTACTACAATTCACATGCCAAATTTAATCAAGAATGGTGATGCAAAGGTCATTTGTTTAAATTAAATGGGGAAACAGTGAATATGTTTAAGTTATGTATTCTGTTACAGTTGAATTAACTTTCATTAGAAAATGAGCCTGCAGCCCTTTGTCCATAACTGACAGGTTTTAAGATTTTATGTGCGTATTTACTGTAGTTTTCTTTTTGGCAGTATCTGGAGGATTAGATAAACTGGGAATTCCATCGTGTAAACACTGCACATGACAATGAATTATTTTAATCTTTGATATAAATATGAAAAACATTAAGTATAACGTCCACATGATATGATCAATAAAAAACAAAGCTCGAGTTTTGTGTGTGATGGTACGTTCACACTGCAAACTGCAAGTGTGTCAATGCGATTAAGTGATTTATTCTCTATGGGAGGGCTTGTCGCTAGGCAGTGAGCAGGGGCGTGTGAGCAGGGGCGTGTGAGCAGGGGCGTGTGAGCAGGGGCGTGTGAGCAGGGGCGTGTGAGCAGGGGCGTGCAAGCATCAAAATGAAGCTGAAGCCCCAGCTGCACCCAAAAACACTCAATGCACTCAAATAAAAAAAAAAATAAAGTACACACTACGTTAATGGACACTTAGTGCGACTCCTTAGTGCGCAAGTACAAAACGTAGTACATTTTTCGGATACACTACGTTACTTTTGAACTACTGGACTTTACTGACAGACATCCTGCGTAACAACAAGTACCAAACAAACCATGTACGTTTATCAATATGTTCAATACATTTATCATACTTTTTATGATTATTTGAGTTCTAATATTAAATACTGTACTCACACTTAAAACCAATATTAACCTCTCCCGGCATGTTCAAGGTCACTCCTGACTCCCTCAAAAGTCATGTATAGGACTGTGGGGTTTAACAGTGCGCAGTGTTCGCACTCTTCAGAATTTGATCTGCTGTACGATGCAATCTAGGAATATTTTGTGCACTTAGCAATGCACCCTACAGTTTCAGACACACTATTATGAGTGTTTTTTGGGTACCTTTTTAGGTCATCTTCCAATGATGAAGATTGGTTCTTGAGTATTGGAACTAAGTACACAACATGGTACAAATCCCTGGATGTTGTTCTTGCCCTGTCTAATCCCATGATTCATTACACCCCAACTTCATTCTTGGGAGGCAAGTTAGCTAGACTGACACCACAAATACAATCTTTGGGTTCATGGTATTGAGAAACACCCTATGTCTCGTGTACCATCTTGACGCACTATTTAGTGTGGAAGTGTGCCATTTCAGATGGAGCCCCAGTCAAATTTATGGAAATGAGTTTGACATGGTTCAGCAGCAACCAATCCGAATGTAGAAATGCTCAGCTAAAGAGAGTTCCACAGAATACAAGCATGTAAACTTTTGTTCCGACTAAATAGTTCCCAAGCACAACAGAAGAGAAACTGTATGGAACGCTGTCCATGAGACAGAATAGACCTTGAAAGAACATTTCTTTAGCCCTCTATATGTCTTCAGCAAATCACTCCTCTAATTAGGAATATAATTAAGGAGTTGCGATGAAAACCTACATATACAGTGGCCCTTTCTGGATAAGATTGGCCACCCCTGCTCTAGACAGAGTAAAAATGCCTGTGTTTAGGCAGCATAAAAAACCCGTGTAGACATGCATTTTATGTGGCTTCAGCATGGTACAAATGTGTTGACAGGACATTTTTTGCCCTCTATACATCTTTACAAGACATTTTTTTTTTACCCTGTAGACAGAGTAAAATATAATACTTGCTCTATCTGATGGTACTGAGCTTTCAAACATCAGAATCAGAAAAACATTATTGATCCCAGAGGAATTTGCTCATGTTACTACTAAACAGTCACACAGAGACACAAGACAAGAACGTAAAAATATAAGATACAAGTATAAGAAACTGAAAATTATAAAAGAGACTCTGCGCTATATACACCATGATATATACATAAGAGAAACAGAAATATGATATATTAAATAGAATAAATACTGCTGAGTGATTATTGCACGTAGTAATACAGGTAAATTACCAGATGAGTATTGCACATCTGAGTAGCAGCAGGTTTATCGCACAGGCTAAAGTATGGGTGTGTGGTGGGGACCGTGGGGTGAAGTTTATTCTAACGTCTGAGGCTGGGTGTGAGATCAGTGTGAGGAGTTATAGAGTCTGATGGCTGTAGGTAGGAATGATCTTCTGTGGCGTTCAGTGGAGCACTTAATGCTAGTCAGCCTGTAGCTAAAAGTGCTTCTCTGATCAGCCACCACACTGTGGAGCGGATTATCATCATTGTCCATGATAGACTGAAGTCTGAACAATATTCCTCGTTCAGCCACCATTTCCAAGTTGTTGAGTTCCTCACCCACTACAGAAGCCGCTTTCCTGATAAGTTTGTTGAGCCTCTTGGCCTCTGCCACTTTCATGCTGCCACCCCAGCTTGCTACAGAGAAGAAAATGGCGCTGGCCACCACAGACTAATAAAACATCCGCAGCATAGTGTTGCAGACTCTAAAAGACCTGAGTTTTGTGACATTCACAAGATAAATTGGTGTCAATATTCCAGAACGCACATTGCCTGTCAATAAGTCTTAATTGGAACAGTACCAATTTCAGAGGGCATTATTTTAAAAACTGTTTTCAAACTCAGGATTTAGTTAGTGTAATAGTTGCTCTATCAGATGGTTTTCAGCTTTCTAATAGAAGTTTTGACACTAACAAGATGGATTGCTGTCTAGAATTAGAATTTGGTGATCAGTGGTCATTGTTGACACAGCACAGTGCACAACAACGAAATGTGTCTTCTGCATTTAACCCATATGTGACATCGTGACACAGGACGGGGCAGCTAATTCAGCAGGGAACAGTGCTTGGGTGCTGTACCTTGCTCAGGGTACCTCAGTGGTGCCTTGCTGGTCGGGGATTCAAACCAGCAATCTTTCAATTACAAGTGCACTTCCCTAACCATTAAGACACCACTGCCCACTAGGGTAGTGATTTCACAAAATAGGTTGAGTATTGTGAAAATGGGAGTTAAACTTTGCAGCTAATATATCCTTAGTAATACTTTATTTTTTTCTTCTACAAACTGTTCAAGGATCTTTAATTTATTTAGTATGTTATCAAGTTGGGATTCAAGAAATTCAGATAATTTTTCCAGATAGCAAATTTTCAGAAATTGTCCCATTGGAACAATATTCACCCTATATCAGAATGCACGTTGCTTTTCAATAGGTCTTAATAAAGTACCAATTTCAGTGAGTATTATTTCAAAATCTATACAGCAAAATATCTTAAAAATCTGAATTTGGTAATTGTAGTAGTTGATCTATCACATGAGATTTCTAATGCCGTTTGATACAGACAAGATAATATGTCATCAATTGGGGATTACGTCGCAACAAAATCCCCTATTTAAGGGGAACCAGAAAACGAGAATAAGAAGCTTGCAAATAAGTAGCCAACTTCAGTCTCGTCTTAAATGTTAATAAAATTATTTACTCACCCGACATTAGCTTATTTTGTCCCCCGACCTCTCGGAGCCTGCGCCGAAGTTCCTCGTTTTCCTTCATCGTTCGAGCAGTTTCATCCTGATACTCCAAAATCGTTTTTGCCACTACTTCCAGTATCTCTCCAGCTGCCACCATTAAGCGCTCGGTTAAATAAGCGTTTAAATTCTGCAGTACTGTCATTTTTAAAGTTTGTACGTAATACACAAGCGTCTGAGAAATGGCGTCTGAAATAAAGAACGGGTATCTCAGCCGTGTGAAACTGGCAAAGAATAAGGGGAGACTTCCGGTTGCTATTTCCGCTTATTGTGTCAAAATAAAAGTTCGGTTTTCACACACGATTGATGCCTTTAACACCTCTCCTTCCTTAATTCCAAGCCAGTCCTCTGACCTTTTCTTTTTTTTTTTTTTTTATTGCCCACCACCGTACCACCCCCTCTCTTCGGAGGACAACTTTATTTTACATTAAATTCAAGAGCAAAGAGTGTGGCCGCTCCGAACTCACCCGTCCCGTGGAAAAAAAAAAACAGGGGGGATACAGAAACAACGATCGTAACAATAACAGACATTAATCACCGTGGGGAGAGGGGGAGGAAAAAAAGGAAAAAGGAAAACAAAGGTATACAGAAATAATGATACTAATAATGTAGGTGGGATGAAAAAATTAAGTGTAGGGGAATACAGAATACAAACAACCATAAGAAACATAACACTCATTACTTCAGGACATCAAACAACAAAAATTATAACAACATCAGTAATAATAATAATAATTAATAATGTGACAAATCGGTATTATATACACTCACCTAAAGGATTATTAGGAACATGGTCCTGGTCAAGACAATCTCCTGAACTCCAAACTGAATGTCAGAATGGG